ATAATAATAATAATAATAATAATAATAATAATAATAATAATAATAATAATAATAATAATAATAATAATAATAATAAAGTCTATTTACCCTCTAAGATTCTCTGTACCGGGAACGGTCGGAAGCCTGATTGAAATAATTTTCCCGTAACGATTGAAAACATCCCGAATTTGGTTTTCCGTAGCATTGAAAGACAAATTACCAACAAAGAGGGTATCACTGACTTCGCTCATGCTTCTCTGTGGTCCATTTTTAGGGCTAGCAAGATCTAAATGAATAGATCTGCCATCAATTTCTTTCCCTTCGAACTTTAATGCATTCTTTGCTGCTTCGGAATTAGCAAATTCTATATATCCAAACCTACAAGGATAGACATCTGAATAAATAATTTTCAAAAAATCATCAATTATATTTAACAAATGATAAATGTTTACCCTTTCGACATTCCAGTTACTTTATCGTAAACTATGCGTATATCGACTATTTCTCCAGCATCTTTCATCTCATTGTGTAGCCAATCAGCATCAACATTATATGAGAGGCGGCCAACAAATACTGTATTACCTGAAGACGTGTCGTCATTAACCTTAGGCTTTTTAACTGGTGTAGATGTAGATTCTTCTATCTTCCTTTTTGATGAATTTTGATCCAAATGATTGGTCTCTTCCTCATCATTATCTTCATCTTCATCTTCAGATTCAGATTCACTTGTACTTGAGTCACTACTGTTCAAATCTTGGCCATTATTTTTGCCATTTTCCGATTTGGTGGTCTCCTCTTCGCTACTAGCGTCTTCAGATTCACTTGCACTTGAGTCACTATCGCCTAAATCTTGCCCATTACTTTTGCCATTTTCTGATTTAGAAGTTTTAATTGGAGTAGAAGTCGATCCATCCATTTTTCCTTTTGAGGAATTTTGCTTCAATCGATTGGTCTCTTCCTCGTCACTATCGTCTTCAGATTCACTTGAGTCACTACTGCTTAAATCTTGCCTATTATTTCTGCCATTTTCTGACTTGGACTTTTTAATTGGAGTAGAAATTGAACCATCTATCTTTCTTTTTGATGAATTTTTCACTAAACTTTCATCCTCGGACTCACTTGTATCTGAGTCGCTACTACTTGAATCTTGCTCACCGTTTTTGATTACATTTTGTATTTTCATGTCATTTTCTTCGTCACTATCATCTTCACTGTCATCTTCATCTTCACTCTCATCTTTCCCTTCATCTTCATCGTCATCTTCATCTGTGGATGAATCCGAATCATTCTTTGATGAGACCTCTTTCTTAAATATGTCAATTTTGTTATTTGTTTTATCTTTCTTCAAAGTATTAACTCTGGGAATAGGTTTTTGTTCTGAATCTGCACTCTCCTCTCCAGTATCAGATTCTTCAGAGTCACTCGAATCTTCAGAGTCATTTTCTTTAGATCCTA